GTCCCGAACGAACAGATATCGTCTTTAGCTTAATTGCAATCGGGAGTGTATGTGCGTGCGTGTCCCAGGTGCGTGCCTGAGTGCGAGAAAAGAAAGAGCGTTTAAGTAAAACTATGCTTTTCAATGAAATTTGTCGACAAGTGTGGGATATATCATCGTTACTTTGTCTTGCGAATACAACTCCAACAGCGGTTGGTTGTTTATGGCGTTTGACATTCTAAAACAAACACGGGCCTACTAATTTCAAATTAAGATTGGTCTTAGGGCGCATTCAGAACAGATGATCCGCGGACTAAATATGGCCGACCCCACTAAAAAGAGTTGCCGCTTATTCCCTGATGGTCGCCCCGCCTCTACATTTGCCGTCGCTGCAGGGCCCTAGCTATTAAAACACGGAGCCGAGATTTTTTGGTGCGCCTGGAGGCGTGGAGACTATTGGCGACATCGATTTACAGAGTAATTCGGCACAGTGCACAGTGCATGCAGAGTCAGTTACAAACTGGGACCTAAAGTTGGAGGTTTTAGGCTTCGTTCACATGGAATGTCTATTTTCTAAAAATCTATTTTCTATTCGCGCTATCTTATAATCACGTTCTGTGCCCTGAATATCCCGCCGCTTAATTACTGGCAGCGCGAGCCAGTTACTTAAAGTAACTTGTAGTAACTGGCTTGCGCTGCCAGTAATTACGCCGCGGGATATTCAGGGCACAGACCGTGATCATAAGACATACCGCGAATAGAAAATAGAATTTAGAAAATAGACATTGCATGTGAATGAAGCCTAATACCAGTTTTGAAACGGCTGATGCGCACATGCAAGAGGGTTTAAGGGTTCCAGTCATATTTTGTCCGCCGAACTGTTATTACGCGGATCAGACTGTTCTGAACGCACTCTTAGAAAGAACCTTTTAAGGCTTAGTTTTAAACCCAAGGCATCCACCTTGGCTACGGACTCAACGCAGAAATAACGCAGCTTTAGCCTAAACCCGTTAGCAACCCGTTTGTCATTGCTCGTATTCAAAACTGTGTTTATTGACTGCCGCCGAAAAGACAACTTTTAAGAAGTAGATAAGGCATTTATTACATTAGGTATGTACTGACATAGAGAAAAGGGGTTATAAATTAGTTCCAGATTATATAGCAGAGGAAACGTTCACATTCCTTGCGCTGTCAATTCTATCTTGTGATACATGAAGAGCTATATCGGAAATTCAATTTCTTGCGGCTTTCATGGGCTTGAAAAGAGTTTCCGTTTCTTGAGAGACATTTTGACATGGTAGATATTCCATCACGATGAAACCTTTTTGATCTTTTCTTTTGTGAGAAATGACTTCAAATATGAAACCTTGGGGAACTTTATAACCATCTGCAATCGCTGAAATTCTTCTGTTACTTCAAATTAAAACCTTACTTCACATGTTCAATTCAAGGTGAAATTTCACTGAGTAGACCTATCTAAAAATGGGTTTGAGACACTCTTGATTTTTCTCGTGTTATATTTTTGAAGCGAGATCACACATTTTAAATGTATGTAAAGTCTTAGAGCGCATTCTGAACAGCGGACTAACAGATCTGCAGATCAAATTTGGTCAACCCACTTGAATGCTTGCTGCGTAATCCCCGCACGGAACCTATTCAGTGTGTAATCAGGAATTATGCCGCCATATTTGATCCCCGAATCTGTTAGTCCGCTATTCTGAATGTGTTCTTACTTGGAGAGATTTGAACTTCAAGGCAATGCACAAACTGCCTCATTTTCTGGGATCAATACGACTATAATTATTCATGACCAATTTCTTTAAGAACTCCTCAATTAATTGTTACCATCAGCTCGCAGGAAATGGATGTTAAATGCATGTCCTTAGCAAAATAAAAAAGTTTGCAGCAATATTGTTTGCAAGAGTTTGTAGGAGTTTGCAAGAAAAACATTATTGCTGCTAATTTGCAGCCATATTGCAGCAGATTTGCAAAAGGAATAGCAGTTTGCAGCCATACTGCAGTAAATTTGCTGCAACTTTGCAGCAGGCTTGATATTTTGCTAAGGGTGTTTCACCATTGTACGGATTATGGACTCGTAATTATATAACTGTCATTGCAGTCTCGAAGGAAGCCTCGGTACATGTAGCTAGCAGAGAATCATTACAATATCAAGTTGACCAAGAAACAAACATTCTTCAGCGTCGCAAGAAAATGGTAGAAGATGGATGTGCAGCGTCAAATCAAACCCTCTTATCGGTTGAAACGGCAGCCATGTCTATAAAAGGTTTGCAAATTCCCAAAAGAACAGTGGAACAAAAGTATGTTACTTGGATATTAAATGATGAACAAACAAAAGCACTGTACTGTATCGTTCCCAAGACTGGCTCTACAAATCTTCGCCGGATTTTTGCGGAAGTGAAAAGTCGCGGGAAGAATAAGACGGACCTTTTCGATTGGTCAAAGTTGGCGGCAGGCAAATCGTGGCATTACAACTTTGATTTTCTCACACAAAAAAGCGTTGAACAAATCACCGGCATATTGCAAAGGAAAAACAACATTAAAATCTTGAGTGTCCGTCATCCGTTCGAAAGAATAATATCACTTTACAGAATGTTTTTTGAGGGGAAAATCTTCGAGAACAAAACCGAAAGTATTATTCTAATGGCTTCCAGGGGGATCGCGCTTCTGATAATTCGACAATTCAATCTTCCGGGCGGCACACTGGACATCACATTTCCGCTTTTTATCAAGTATATAGTTCACCATGGCAACTGTGTCGAGAGTGGGGACTGTAAGGTGGACTGGTATCAGGCACACTGGAGTCCAATATGGCGGATGTGTCGCGTGTGTTCACTAGGCTATGATCTCATTATTAGAATGGAGACGTTCGACCGGGATTTACCCGAAATTTTAAAGCTCGCAAATATTTCAAACACCACCATCTACCCTGCTCAGTGGAAGAGGACCAGTAAAGGGATAGTTGAGAAGTATTTCTCACAGCTCTCCCCGGAGTTGATTGAAGATCTAAAAGAAATGTACAGGATGGACTTTAAATTGTTTGGATATGACTACTCTGTATCGGATAAATTTATCAACTGATTACGGTTAAGACAGACTACATGTAAGTGTGCCCGAACCATTTTAAATACAAACTGTGAATCTATTTCCTTTTTACGCATCAGGAAAAAACATTCCTTTTTTATGGGTTCAGTTTCGCATCTAGATATGGCTGCCTTTACATAGATGCAACAGTAAATCATTAATTAATTAAGTAATTAATTAATAAATAAAATAATTTATTTATTCATTGTTTGGGTGTATGTCTTTTGTTAGGCAACATACAACGTACATACGCGTATCGAAAAAGTGTAAAGGCAGGTAAATAACGCACTGTAGCGTAAAAAACATTTCCGTTTTCAATGACCTACAACAAATGTATATGTCATATACAAGTGAGTTACGCTGTCAGCGTAGAACAGGGTAGTAAACAGAAGACACTGGATCGGACACGCGGAACGCAGCGACATCGGAGACCTGCTTAGATTATTGATTTCCGCTATCCATACTATTAGTCAAATAAACCGCTTTGAGCTGTCGCAAAAACGCCCAGCCCCATCAGGGTTCATAGGGAGTGGGGAGCGGGGGAGGGGGGGGGCGACAGATATTCACTAGGCTGCGAGGGACGGAGGGCAACTGCCCAACCCCTCCCCTCAACCAGACCCAGAAGAAGAAGTTTATTTTTGCCCCTGTAGAACGCGTTGCTAAACCTGACTTGACCAGTTAAACTCAATGGAATTAACGCCTCCCCCCCTCCCCCCCGTTTCAGACCTACCTGCCTTTCCTTCCCTCCNACCAGACCCAGAAGAAGAAGTTTATTTTTGCCCCTGTAGAACGCGTTGCTAAACCTGACTTGCCCATTTAAACCCAATGGAATTAACCCCCCCCCCCCCCCCCCCCGTTTCAGACCTACCTGCCTTTCCTTCCCCCCAAAAAAAAAAAAAAAAAAAAAAAAACGGTATAACAAACCAAACGAGACAAAACTAAGCAATATTTCCATCCCCGCGCCCCGCATATTCCAAAGAAACTGCCCCCGTCCAATGTTTTATATTTACCTTTCTTCGTTTGTTAATAAAAGTTATCTCTGCCCCCCCCCCCCCCCCCCCCCCCCACATCCGCGCAAAACCTTGGCCCTCGCAATGAAACGTGCGCACACTGTTAATGCTTGCCCGCGACTGTCAACATCGTTCCAGATATTGACCCCCATATGTTGTACGTATTACGGGACTCTTTCATCCCATTTCCATAGATTAGATCGACCTTCTTTAGATCGACCTAACTCCCTGGGGGTTCACGCTAAATAGCTGTCAGCCGGGCGGACACGAAAGCTAATTACCTCCTTCCAGCTTGTAGTAGGCGGGACGGACATTTAAGTCGGATTATCTGAAAGTTATCTAGTGAGACTCCCCGCGGGGATAGATCGATCTAAAATCTATGGGAATATAGCCATTTTGTCAGGGGGACAAAGATGTGGGCCCAATAGAAATCAAACGTCGTATTTGTCCTCTTAATCTTAGCAATTTGCTACTGCTAAAATCATTATTAAGGGATTTTAATTTAAAAAAGGACCTTGGTGTTAAACTATTATTTATTTGACATCCAAAATACAGCTACTCAGGCTGTCTTAATATAACAGCCTTGACAGTGAACAGCGAGATATCTGACCTTCACTTAGATAGGTAAATAAAGTGAACAATGACCTGGGGAAGACCGTCACCGTTCAAGCATATAAAGTGTTGGGAGAGTCGTGTTAGGAATTACAGAGTACTTCGGCACAGTGCACAGTGCATGCAGAGTCAGTTACAAACTGGGACCTAAAGTTGGAGGTTTAATACCAGTTTTGATACGGCTGATGCGCACATGCAAGAGGGCTTAGATTTGGTAGGTTAATGAAAATCCTGATTCGGTTCTTATTTAGCTTCGATAAAACTCATTAAGGACCTCAGGAATCTCCATTTATTAAGTCAATGTGAAGAAGTTGCAAACTGTGGAGCAAGTCCGTTGACTTAAGCGGTAGCGTCAGAAAAAGTTAAGCCACCATAACCTAGACATCGTATACAGACACCAAAATGAGCGTCGCTGAAAAACTTTTACGGGAGCTCCCTGCTTTCGACGTCACCACCATTCTGATCTTCGTGGCCGTCTTTTTCGCCTGTCTACTTCTGGTGGCAGGAGTCACAGGGGGGCGACACTCCAAGCTGAGCCTACCCCCAGGCCCCCCGGGATGGCCCGTGTTGGGCAGCCTGCTTTTCTTCATTCGCCGCAAGGACCCCCACCCCAGCGACTTGAAGCCGTGGGTTAAGAAGTACGGGGACATTTTATATGTATCCATGGGACCCCAGGTGAGTGAACCTGTCCGTCCGTCCGCCTGTCCGTCTGTCTGTCTGTCTGTCCGCCAATCAGTCAGTCGGCCATTCGATCAGTTGGCCATTTGAACAATCAATTATTCGGTGCTTTTAAGTGAGATTGCTATTTTTTCTTTTATTAAAGTCCAAAACTATTTAAAAAAAAAAGTTTGCCTGAGGTCTAGAGGCAAATATGATCAGGTTCCTCTTTTTTCAAACTCCCACTATGCCTTCAGAATTTCAGGCTGAATTTCGGCGGTGTTTGCTTGAATTTTGCTGCAAATATTAGTGCTTTGTTCAGTATACTTCAGCGTCGTTCAGTATACATCAGTGATACGGGCGTTGTGCCGTTTGTCCCACATCACTTTGAGGTCAGGTCGAGAAAATCGGAATATTAGTTGAAAAGTGATCCTCTCTGTCTCAGTGCAGTCGCCGCACATTATCCGCGCTGATCCCTTAGTCCTCGTTGTTGTACGATCACCACATCATGCTCAACGAACGTCCCAAAATTGCGCAACGCCATCTACAAAAATGCGAGGGACTTCGGGATTTCGATTTTTAAAAATATTGCCAAAAGTTACAACTTGACAAAATCGGTGATGTTACGGGAAACCGTACAATAAATCGCCCTGTGCATGAACACGGACGTCGAACGAAAAAGAGACATGAGTCACCCTCTGATACCAGCAGGCCTACCCAACTACCAGACTCGGCACCGAATGATCCTGAATTCACCGGTAGATCAGACCACACTACCCGTTTTCAAGGTGTGAGTCAGTACGCATTACACAGTATCATACCCTGAACAAATTTTGAGTGGTGATGCAATGCTATTCAATCGTCACTATCACATCGCGTACTAGGCAAGAGCGGTGTCGCGTCTGATACTGTGAAATGCGTACTGATACACACCTTGAAAATGGGTAGTGTGGTCCGATTTACCGGTGAATTCAGGATCATTCGGTGCCGAGTCTGGTAGTTGGGTAGGCCTGATCAGGGCCTATAAAATAGTTTGCAAAATCAAACTATTAAGTATTTGTATAATTTTGTATTAGCGCACCCTATGGTCATAGTGTAGATATACCGGGGTGTTGGCATTGCTTGGCAAATGGCTTTTCTTTCAATGCTTTTTATATTGAGCGTTATACCTTATGCCCCTATTTTACACAGACCACGAATCCCACGAATCGCCAGGAATTGACAAAATTCAGGATTCGTGGTTGAATCGTAATCAGTTCGTGAAGTTCTTAACAGATTCGTATATATTCGTAGTCAGTTCTTACAATTCTTGATCAATCACGAACTGATTACGATTCGTGGGATTCGCGGTCTGTGTGAAATAGGGGCATTAGCGATACAGCTGCGATATTTTCCCCGGCTGACTATGTAAGAGAGTCACCTAAAGTGAGTCCTCACGCTCGGCACGGCCGATTAACTAGCTTTAGACGAATACAACAAAGGAATAGAACTTATGGATAACTTGTGGAAGGGAGTAAAGTTCACTGTGGCGTAATATCACGGTGGAACCTCTCAAGCCAGTAGTACAGCTGTAGGCCCCCTACCGCTTGGATAAAACGCCCGACGTGACACATTTCTAAATGTGTTTTAGGGCGTGGTTTTCCTGAATAGCCATGACTCGATACAGGAGGCGTTTGTGAGGAAATCAGACCAGTTCAGTAGCAGACCGATATGGCTGTTCCTATTCAAGTCAATCGTAGGACCTAAAGGTGGTTATTGGCGCACGCACCCCTCACACACTCTCTCAAGCACACGAACACACTTTCTCTCTCTTATATATGCACAAACACGCATTTTCTCCCTCTCTCTCTCTCTCTCTCTCTTTCGCTTTCCCTCTCTCTCTCTCTCTCTCTCTCTCTTACTCTCCCGCTTGCTCTCTCTCTCTTTCGCTTGCTCTCACTCTCTCTCTCTCTTTTTCTCTCCAACTATTGTGGTAATTTATGTATAAAATGGAGAATCAGGTTGTAAAAAAGCACATCCTAGGTTTCAAGTTAAGTCGACGGCTGATACTTTTGTCGAACACGTTTTTCACTGAAAATTTTCTTTTGGCTTGAAGTCGCCGAAAATAGAGTACAGCACTCTAAAGCACTTGCAACCTTGGTATTTGATTAAAAAATATCTCACCTGCAAAAAACTATTGCTTAGAGCCCAAACATATTTTGTCTAAGACGTACAGAATTTACAATAGTTATCGTACGATAGTTACTAAGTATATAGATGAAAATTTACACTGTTTATTTTTAATAATTATCTCAAGGTGCTGGCGTCATATTTTCAAACGGACAAAAATGGAGAGATTTGCGTCGATTCACGCTCACGTCCCTCCGAGATTTCGGCATGGGCAAGAAAACACTTCAAGAAAGTATTCAGCACGAGTCCCGCCTGCTCGTGCAGGACTTTGAGAAATTTGGCGGGGAGGCCTTCGACCCTGGCACTGTTGTGCAGACAGCTGTGAACAACATTATTTCCATCGTGGTATTCGGAGAAAGGTGACGCACTGTGGTTTAATTAATTAAAATATTTTAATGAAATGCCTTTACGGTACTTTTATCTAACTAAATGTCATTTTCTGTGCATTTACTCATATTAAGATTTATTCATAATAATGCAACCGTTGTTGAGGCGGTCTAAAGGAAACAATCTGCTTTGCTTTGCGAAGTACTTCAGCACCCTAAAACAATAGAGACTAAATATTTTAAAAATGGTTGGAATTCTTTCAGATTTATTAATATTACCAACTAAATCATTGTACGTCTGTTTCATTTAAGGCACGAATACTCTGATCAAGGATTTAATGAAATGTTGGATCTGCTGAACACTCTGCTTCGACTCAGCGCCTTCGGTATAGAAGATTTTTTCCCGTGGACACGGCACTTCATACCGAATTCTAAGGTAAAATAATGGTTCTCTCTCTTTATATATATATATATATATATATATATATATATATATATATATATATATATATATATATATATATATTAAAAATATTCAACCACCAGAAAACCCACACTGTAAATCACACGTTATCCAGGATATCGTGGATCGTATTCTTGTTGTCTAATAGAGATTTCTGACGTTTTGAAGCTTCATATATCCCAATCCCCCTCGAAAACTTTGAACTATTTGAACTGCTACATTTTTCATAGAATAACATTCCTAAGACTTATGGCTCCTTACAAACCGTGTTCTTTCCACCTCACTTTTCCAAATGGCATCTTTTCAATTCTTACATTCACATTTGATCAAATTTGTATATTTACAGATGAAGAAACGCCTCGCCATTCTCAAGGAGCTGTACGATAGAATACGAGATCACGTGAATGAGCACCGACTGACCTTTGACCCCAACAACCTCCGGGACTTTATCGATTTGTATATCAAAGTGACCAATGAAAACAACGACCCGGAGACGTTTTCAGGTATAGTTTAGTTTAAATTGCTGTAGTTGTGTGTTCAGTGTTGATCAGCTGCAGAATCAACCGATTTTGGTCGAATGGCATGATGAAATTATAATTTCTTATGCTTTTGCTGGAGTATCAAAAAACTGTAGGCCTACCAGACCATGCAAAGACTCCATTCCCATACCTATATAGATCGATCTAGCAGGATCAACCCATTTTTAAGGGGGGTTCGCTGTATTGCATCTAGCGTAGCGGCTCTGATGTCTTACATGCCTACAGCTTCAGTAGTCATGCCAGATATCTAACATTGACAGGGACAATCCTGCTAGATCGATCTTTGGACAGAAATGGGGTCTAATATACTCTTTTTTCATAGTTTATTAATTACTGTGATGTAATTATAAAGCCATCGGGTTTTAATCCTAGTTAAAAAGAATACAATTAACAAGCCTTTATTAATGCGTGTTAAAGGTAAAACATTTGGTTTCAGAAAAGAACATATTTCGCGTTGTTGTTGACCTGTATTTCGCCGGCACAGAGACAACCGCCAGTACCTTGAAGTTTGGCCTTCTCCAGCTGCTGCATCACCCAGACATACAGAAAAAGTGCCAAGAAGAAATAGACAGGGTATGTGAATGAAGATTATGAAATAGTCATCTAGTTAACAATAATAGTGATGAATAAATGTAGTTTCTCCTTTTTGAGTACAATGCACGAACTTGCAGTGATGTTGTTTTTCAATTGCCACTGAATGGTTGATTGGGCATCATTTTGCCTTTAAAAATTCTCGTCTCGAAATGTGAAAATGGGAATACTGTGACTCTATCAGTTTTTCTATATTACTTTTAATTAATTTAATTAATCTATTTATTCATTCATTTATTAACATCTATTTTAAATCCCTTGTTTGGTTTGTGTAGAATATCCCATCTATTTTATCAAGGTAATTGGACCAGAAAGAGCACCGAAAGGGGAGGATCGCCTTCAGATGCCGTTCACGGAGGCGACGCTCATGGAAATCATGCGATACTCACCCGTAGGTAAGTACTGAAAATAGAGCTAAATCAGCCAAACGTCCTCCTTGCAAGGGTTAGGAATGTCTAACGTGTTTTTTGTGCTCTACCGGGACCACAGCTTCATGTTTCAGCAGATACCCATAGATATATCTCTGTCTAATTAGTGATAATTTTTGCAACTTACCAGCACGAAGTTTTGCATGGAATTTACTTTTTATTTTAGCTTGCCTCTAGTATAGAATTCATGTTTTCCAGTTTCAGTGGCAAAATAGCTTCAATTTACTTTTTGCCGTCTTTGAAGAAAAATGTTCAATGGATATGCTTTTTTGTTGAGGTTCTTTTGTCGTCTGCAACTGTGTCACGGTCTGCCTTCCTAGCAAAGGAAAAGATAGCTAAGAAGACTTTTATATTGATAAATCGTTTTTTTAGTATGCGTCTATCAGAAGTTAATTTCCAGATTTGTATCCAGTGGTCACACGTGATTTTTTATTTTTTACAGTCCCTAACGGCGTCCCCCACGCCACCGAAACAGACGCAGAGTTACATGGTTACCTCATTCCGAAAGGGACTGTGGTTTTCCCCAATATTTATCACGTTCTAAGGGACCCTGCGAACTTTGACCGCCCAGATGAGTTTCGTCCTGAACGCTGGTTGGATGATTCCGGGCAGGTTATCAAGACGGACAAACTGATCAATTTTTCCGTGGGTTAGTGGCTAAAAAAGTGTCAATGCGTATTGCTTTTTGTAATACAAAACAATGTGAATGATATAATTAAATAATAGAAAAAAGATAAAGCATTACATAAATGCAATTTAAATATTGGAAACCGTAAAACGTAAGAATGAGGTTTGAGGTGGGCCATTTAAAAAAATTGTTGGGTTTTTAAATCAGTTTTACTTAGCTTATTTCATTAATTTGACCAGATGTAGTTGTAAATTTGTGGCTCAAATAGTATATTATTTGTAGAACAGAGAGCGCGAGCTCGATAAAAATCATTTACATATTTTAATCAATATTTCTTGCGCGTATTTCTTAAAAACGGAAACCACTCCTCTTCACAATAACTTTGAAACCTTTTTCAGGGCCACGGACGTGCCTCGGAAAAACACTGGCGGAGTTGGAGGCCTTTATTTTCTTCACCACCATGCTGCAGCAGTTCTCATTTCAACCGGCAGAGGGCCAAGACATCCCCAGTCCCGACCGCGGGCAACTTGGCATTACTTACACCCCCTTCCCGTTTAAAATTCGTGCAGTTAGGAGATAAGTTAATGGTTAAAGGGTGATTTTTTATCTACGAAATTAGAAATTAAGTCTAATAGCATTTTTAATAAATGCCTTTATAGCATAGGTGGTGTCCGTGTTGACATATATATATATATATATATATATATATATATATATATATATATATATAAAGTTAATGAAAGGTAGGTTAATGAAAAAAGGTAGGTTATATATATATATATATATATATATATATATATATATTTATTTACCCGGTCTTTTAAAGGAAAATATTTATAAATATTGCCATATTATTAGCAAGGTCTTTTAGCCATTGTGCTGATACAAAAGATTATAGTTATTATATTGGGCATTCAGTGGATAGTTTCTCGCGTCGGATATATGCCATATTTGCGTTTTTGATAGGGAAATACGAAAACGCCAAGGAAAACTTTCCATGTGGTGGGGTTATTATTTTTCTTTATTTTAAGCTTAACATTGAGTGAATCAATATCCACTCTGTATATATTTTTTTGTCTTTTGTAATTTGTATATAGTTATTTCTATTTTGAGTGTCATAAAAATTATCAGCATAACTTATAATGCTAAAAAATGAATCCTGTCAAAATTCTACATGGTTTCTACAAATAATAAGGTAACTACATGTATTCCAAATGAACAGCATTATATGTTTATAACATAATATAATATCGACTATGTATTTATCGTATTGCACATCTTAATCAATTAAATAAATCTATCCTGATTTCATTACGCCTTATTTACATGCTGTTGATATATTTTCTGTATAAAATGACAACACCAGGCCCACAAGTTCCAAGCCCGTAGCCAGCAATTTCATAAAGGTTTTTTATTTTTTCTGAAAAAAATGGTCCCATGGCATGAAACATTTGTGTACCGAGATTAAGTTAATTCAAAGAGGTATTTTTTTCTGGCAAAAAGGACGGTTCGTTCGATCTCCCTGCCCCCCCCCCCCCCCCCTGCTACGGAGTTCTCATGAGGATAAACTTCAGTGACTCCATGGGGGAGGAGGGGGGTCAGTAGTCTGCAAAAACGCTTTGGAAAAGGGGGTACTGGAGTAACTGTTGAAAAAGGCCTACAGTAAGCATTTAGACCGATGTGGCTCTTCGTGCCGTCTGTAGTTTTATTTGCCCCAGGGTACGCCTTCCCATTTAGAGACTGACTTTTACGGAAAGCAATATATTCTTCTGATGGACTAGGATAAAGGAAAAAGGCTGACGCATGTACTTTTTAAAGATCTAAAAAATATTATCTTTGTCAAATATCTGGGGTGGGGGGCGGGGGCAATTGCTCCAATTTTTGTGGTAAATAGTGATTTATTTCGAAGCTGTTATCTTGATTTGAAAAATCATAAACTTTATATTTGGAATGCACGTGCTACTGCACGATCGCAGTAGGAGAAAAAACTGTAAGGCATTTCGTGTGTGAGTGTTGGTTAGACCGGAATAGATTATAGGTTGCTGCTGAATGAATAGATGGAAAACTATGCCCTATTGATTCTATAAAGATTATATAACGTGAAACCTGAACATTTTTTCTTTTGTAGATCAGGTAGATAATATCTTACACATGCAGAATTTAGTTAAACTGGCCACGGAACAGAGATCAAAATCCCTTTGCAAGTATGTTGAATAAAACAAACATTTTGCTCTTTACCTTTAATTCAAAAGGCCTTTTTATATTATTATTCTATCACAGCAATTAGAAGAAGCTTTCAGATTTTATTTTGCAAAGGAAGATAGATTAATCTCACTGACAGAAAAACTGATACCACAATTAGAAAAGAATAATCCATTTATGCAATTTAAAAGTTCCTCTTCTGTGTGCTGAATGAAGATTAGGGTGCATTCCCAGATATTTTAGATCGATCTATCCCCGTAGGGAGTCTCACTAGATTACTGTCAGATAATCCGGCTTAAATGTCCGTCCCGCCTACTACAATGCAGTAAGGGGGTAATTAATTAGTTCCGTCCGCGGTCGGCTGACTGCAATTTAGCGTGAACCCCCAGGGAGTTAGGTCGATCTAGTAAGATCGATCTAAATCGCTGGGAATGCCCTCTTAGACTGATTTGCCTAATTTCTATCAGTTTTATCATTTCGAAGAGATGGCGTTATAAAAACTTGATGTTGCTATTGTCAGTTACAGGGAAGTGTTACACACTATTACTAGTGCAAATCGCCATTTAGTCGATAAGGACACGCTTATAACACGTACACAAATCATTCATACGTACAGATATCGAATGTCCCTAACTTTAAATTTCTGTCCCTTAAACCCGCGACAAAAATTCAACAACCTTAAACTAAATACACCCTTTATGGCATTTATTGTTGTACTTATTAGTTTGGACAAAATAGCACATGTCCAAATATGCACTATTGGAATTCGAGCTTTGTAGCGCATTCAGAGCAGATGATCCGAGGACTAAATATGGCCGACCCCTCTGAGCGCCTATGCATGCCGCTTAATCCCCTGATGGTCTCCCCGCCTACACACGCGCCATTAATCGGATAAAACATCGGTTCCGAGGTTTTATTTTCAAGCCCCTGCTTTTAAGTGGGTCGGCCATATTTGATCCTCGGATCTGTTAGTACGCGGATCAGCTTGTTATGAATGCGCTCCTTTGTCCTCTCTGGCATGAAGCTTTCAACCTAACTTCTGCAGCATCTGCTTTTACGGCTTGATAACAGGACGGGCAACGTTCGTGGTTACATGTATATGGGCAGAGACAGAATTGAATACTTAGAAAAAGTGGTGTCTTTATTTATGAAGAACTTGACCATATACTCGCTAGCGTTATCCAGAAGCACAACATCTTGACCCGCCCAACATGGAGTAGGTGAGGATCTCACGGACGGCTAATAAATTGACCTTATCTCCAAAATCTCGAAATATATATATATTGAAAGCATGTACATATTTCAGAAAAACAGAATATAATCTAAACCGGAAACAAATTTTATTAGTTATACAGGTACTGATTGGTCGGATACAGAAAAATATGGATCCATGAGACAGCACTTGAAACAAGGCTCAGTGGGAAAGGTTTTTCTACATGCTCATGTAGCACTTCTCTACCAATCAGATGACATAAATCCACTCAGTGACGATATTAGGTTTCACACTAAGGATTGATATACTAGTACTACCGGCAGTGAACTACGTTAAGTTTGTCATCTCTTCCTATACTGTATCAACGACTACCCACGGGAAAATAATTAATATCAACGACTACCCACGGGAAAGTATTTAATATCGACGACTACACACGGGAAAATAATTAATATCAACGACTACCCACGGGAAAATAATTAATATCAACGACTACCCACGGGCAAATATAAAATATCGACGACTATCCACGGGAAACGAATTAACTCCAAGAAAACACACTGACAATGCAGGAGAATGACTCTTGGGACGAAGTTGGGCTTTTTGGTAACAGTAGCGTCTCCATTGGCAAAACAAGCAAGTACGATTTGGACGATGCAAACTATACTGTGCTTTCCTCCGAGCAGAGATGCTGGGTACCCTTTGAGACATGCTATTGTAACACTGTGCACGCTTTGGCAGCCATCGGTCTGGTTGGTAACTTCCTTACCTTCTTGGTGGTTCTTCGACGTCCGAATATGAGGCAGAAGTCCACCTTCGTTTATATTCTGTTCCTTGCCGCTGCCGACCAGTCACGGCTGTCGCTCCTGTCGTGTGAATGCATTTTGCATGACACAAGAACAGGTCTAGGGCCTCCGTGTGGAAAAGAGCACATTATACATATTTTGGGTGGTGCATGTTACTGGCTCTCCATATTCTTAATATTGGCTTTAACCATAGAGAGAGTTGTGATTATTTTTAAACCACTGCAAGCGTCTTTTCTGTGCACAAGACGAAAAGCTTTGGTGACTTCTGTTTCTTTTGTTCCTCTGGCTGTATTACTTAGGTCTCCAGATTTTATACGTTGCCATTTACCTCCAGAAACATTATATGAGATGTCCGTTTTGAACTATGCACTGATCGTGGTGTTGTCCGTAATCACAAAAGCCATTACAGTTATGACGGTCGCCATGGTATGCAAACTAAGGAAGATTCATTCCGTTAGACAACAACTGCTTGGTCATCAGCAGCACGGTGACAGCAGTGGGTCGACGAACACCAAAGTCAATATTCTACTATTAACTACACTGACAGCGTTCATCCTGCTTACTTGGCCTTTCATCATCTTTTCCCTCTGCCTGCCGACCATAGATTTGTTTGGTGACTTTTTCACGCAGCAATACGCCGGGTTTATCTACCAACTGTCAATGTTGTACCTGTTAAGTTTGCTGAATCACAATATAAACTTTTTTCTTTATGTTTCGTCGGCTCGGGTCTTTCGGGATGCGTTGGTGAACCTCTTTAAAGAATGTTTTCGTTGTCGTCGTGGGAGTGCTGAAACACCAGGTAGGGGTCAAAGCTTCAGCAGGCAAAGTGTGTCCACCATTCCGAACACGGCGTCCACTTCTTTTATGGGTATCCGGATGGAAGATTCTGTAGAGTAACACAGTTCTTCGCCGTGTAAATGTAGATGACGGTTACTAATGTAAAATGTAAAATACACAGTCAAGGTAACTCTTGCTGCATTTTTAGTTAAGACAAAAAATGAATGAAATAAGATTAAGTGTTTTTATCATAGGAAACATTTACAGAAAACGTAGCAGCCCGCTGCGTCACCGCTTGTGTAGATTTTAAGCGAATTTTTTGACAAATAGTAACAAATCTTTAATCTAAAGCGGATCCAACCATTTATATTGTGGGTTTTGTACAAATGCTGTTGTAAAGCTTTATTTTAGATGGTTTAAGATATAGTTCTACTTACGAAATCTAGGAAGTATTTAACAGTTTTTGCATGTAATTTCTCCGCATAAAGTACTACATAAAACTGGTTTCCTGAAAACATTTGAATTTGAGAAGCATTTGGATAGACATTTTACACTAATGAAACTAAAGCCTCCTGAAATTTCTGAATTTATGAGAAGTATGGATAGAAATTTTACTCAAATGAAATAAAAGCCTCCTGGAAATACGTCCCTTACGTGCCTACTGTATTATTAATTAGTACCACCAGCGTGAGCGCTGGCGGTACTGCTAGGTTTTGCCTACCCTCTAACCGGGCGACACATTGATTTTTCACAAGATATTCACAGATATGGAGATAAATAGACGACCATCATTTGGTTCTCTGGCTTTTGGAAAATTTGCCTATAATATCTGCCATCCTGGTAGAGGGTAGTTTTTGTTCCTCGGTCTATTGGAATAAGGTCACATATATTTTTGTAAAAAAAATCGTGAAAAGATATTTGTCGCTTCTGCTCCTCGACTACAATGACCTGTGTACTATTCTTTTGAGATAAAGTCACATATAACATATATTTTATAAATAATAATAATATTTTTTGTGAAATTTAACACACTTTAATATTTTCGAATTATTTGTGCCAATTTTCAGAAACTGAGTATGCTTTTATTACAGTGACAAGTTACGCTTGAGGCCGCCTGTCATCTTTGTGAGTTTCGGGTCAATCGGTGCATTGAAATAGGCGACTTAAAAGATAACTACAGACTTCATCGTGATAACACGCTTGCAAAACACGCTTCGAAACTCCCCCCCCCCCTCCGACCCCTCCCCCCTGCCCCCCCCCCCCACCGTTACAGGCCTGTTACATCCTTTTTTTTTTAATTTTTGNATTACTGGCAGCGCGAGCCAGTTACTATAGTAACTTATAGTAACTATAGTAACTTATAGTAACTGGCTCGCGCTGCCAGTAATTACGCGGCGGGATATTCAGGGCACAGACCGTGATCATAAGATAGCGGGAATAGAAAATAGATTTTTAGAAAATAGACATTCCATGTGAACGAAGCCTTAAAAGTCTTTTATATTGATAAATGGGTTTTACAGTATGCGTCTATCAGAAGTAAATTTCCAGATTTGTATCCAGTGGTCACGCGTGATTTTTTATTTCTTTACAGTCCCTAACGGCGTCCCCCACGCTACTGAAACAGACGCAGAGTTACATGGTTACCTCATTCCGAAAGGGACGGTGGTTTTCCCCAACATTTACTACGTTCTAAGGGACCCTGCGAACTTTGACCGCCCAGACGAGTTTCGTCCTGAACGCTGGTTGGATGATTCCGGAAGGGTTATCAAAACGGACAAACTGATCAATTTTTCCGTTGGTAAGTGGCTTAAAAAGAGTCGATGCGTACTGTTTTTTGTAATACAAAAATTGTGAATAATATGATTAAATAATAGCAAAACGATAAAGCATTGCATAAATGCAGTTAAAATATTGGAAGAATGAGGGTAGGGTGGGTCATTTAAGAAAATTTGTTGGGTTTTTAAATCAATTTTACTTTGCTTATTTTATTAATTTGTCCAGATTTAGCTGTATATTTGTGACACAAATAGTAAATTATTTGCAGAACAGAGTGCCTGAGCTCGATAAAAAGTACTTTAGTTATTTTTATCAAGATTTCTTGCGCGTATTTCTTAAAAAGGGAAGCGGCTCCTTTTCACAATAATTTTGAAACCTTTTCAGGGCCACGGACGTGCCTCGGAAAAACACTGGCGGAGTTGGAGGCCTTTATTTTCTTCACCACCATGCTGCAGCAGTTTTCATTTCAACCGGCAGAGGGCCAGGACATCCCCAGTCCCGACCGCGGCCAACTTGGCATTACTTACACCCCCTTCCCGTTTAAAATTCGTGCAGTTAGGAGATAAGTTAATGGTTAAGGGGTGATTTTTTTATCTACGAAATTAGAAATTAAGTCTAATAGCATTTTTGATAAATGCCATTATAGCATTGGTGGTGTCTGTGTTGATTTTAATATACGAGCCATTGTGCTGATACAAAAGATTATAGTTATTATATTGGGCATTCAGTGGATAGTATCAAAAGGAAATCAAAATAGATACTTTATTTTAAGTTTCTCTCGTCGGATATATGCCATATTTGCGTTTTTGTTAGGGAAATACGAAATCGCCAAGAGAAACTTTCCATGTGGTGGGGTTATTATTTTTCTTTATTTTAAGCTAAGATCTAATATACCATTTATTAGATCTTAGTTTTAAGCTTAACATTGAGTGTATCAACATCCACTTTGTATATAGTTTTTTGTCTTTTGTTATTTGTATAGGGCCTATAGTTATTTCTATTTTGAGTGTCATAAAAATTATAAGCATAACTTAAAATGCTAAAAAATGGATCCTGTCAAAATTCTACATGGTTTCTACAAATAATAAGTTAACTACATGTATTCCAAATGAACAGCATTATATGTTTATAACATAATATAATATCGACTATGTATTTATCGTATTGCACATCTTAATCAATTAAATAAATCTATCCTGATTTCATTACGCCTTATTTACATGCTGTTGATATATTTTCTTTATAAAATGACAACACCATGAACACAAGTTCCAAGCCCGTAGCTAGCAATTTCATAAAGGGTTTTTATTTTTTCTGAAAAAATAGTCCCATGGCATGAAACATTTGTGTACCGAGATTAAGTTAACTCAGAAAGGTATTTTTTTCTGGCAAAAAGGACGGTTCGTTCGAACCCCCTGACCCCCCCCTGCTACAGACCCGAGTTCTCATGAGGATAAACTTCAGTGACTCCATGGGGGAGGGGAGGTGTCAGTAGTCTGCAAAAATGCTTGGGAAAAAGGGGGACTGGAGTATTTGTTGAAAAAGGCCTAGAGTAAGCATTTAGACCGATGTGGTTCTTCGTGCCGTCTGTAGTTTTATTTGCCCCAGGGTACGCCTTCCCATTTAGAGACTGACTTTTACGGAAAGCAATATATTTTTCTGATGGACTAGGATATTAAGGAAAAAGGCTGACGCATGTACTTTTTAAAGATCTAAAAAATATTATCTTTGTCAAATATATGGGGTGGGGGCGAGGGCAATTGCTCCAATTATTGTGGTAAATAGTGATTTATTTCGATCGAAGCTGTTATGTTGATTTGAAAAATCATAAACTTAATATTTAGAATGCACGTGCTACTGCACGATCGCAGTAGGAGAAAAAACTGTAAGGCATTTCGTGTGTGAGTGTTGGTTAGACCGGAATAGATTATAGGTTGCTGCTGAATGAATAGATGGAAAACTATGCCCTATTGATTCTATAAAGATTATATGACGTGAAACGTGAACATTTTTTCTTTTGTAGATCAGGTAGATAATATCTTACACATGCAGAATTTAGTTAAACTGGCCACGGAACAGAGATCAAAATCCCTTTACAAGTATGTTGAATAAAACAAACATTTTGCACTTTACCTTTAATTCAAAAGGCCTTTTTATATTATTATTCTATCACAGCAATTAGAAGAAGCTTTCAAATTTTATTTTGCAAAGGAAGATAGATTAATGTCACTGACAGAAAAACTGATACCACAATTAGAAAAGAATAATCCATTTATGCAATTTAAAAGTTCCTCTTCTGTGTGCTGAATGAAGATTAGGGTGCATTCCCAGATATTTTAGATCGATCTATCCCCATAGGGAGTCTCACTAGATTACTGTCAGATAATCCGGCTTAAATGTCCGTCCCGCCTACTAAAATGCAGGAAGGGGGTAATTAATTAGTTCCGTCCGCGGTCGGCTGACTGCAATTTAGCGTGAACCCCCAGGGAGTTAGGTCGATCTAGTAAGATCGATCTAAATCTCTGGGAATGCCCTCTTAGACTGATTTAATTGCCTAATTTCTATCAGTTTTATCATTTCGAAGAGATGGCGTTATAAAAACTTGTTGTTGCTATTGTCAGTTACAGGGAAGTGTTACACACTATTACTAGTGCAAATCGCCATTTAGTCGATAAGGACACGCTTATAACACGTACACATATCATTCATACGTACAGATATCGAATGTCCCTAACTTTAAATTTCTGTCCCATAAACCCGCGACAAAAATTCAACAACCTTAAACTAAATACACCCTTTATGGCATTTATTGTTGTACTTATTAGTTTGGACAAAATAGCACATGTCCAAATATGCACTATTGGAATTCGAGCTTTGAAGCGCATTATGAACAGATGATCCGCGGACTAAATATGGCCGACCCCTCTGAGCGCCTATGCATGCCGCTTAATCCCCTGATGGTCTCCCCGCCTACACACGCGCCATTAATCGGATAAAACATCGGTTCCGAGGTTTTATTTTCAAGCCCCTGCTTTTAAGTGGGTCGGCCATATTTGATCCTCGGATCTGTTAGTACGCGGATCAGCTTGTTATGAATGGGGTCCTTTGTCCCCTCTGGCATGAAGCTTTCAACCTAACTTCTGCAGCATCTGCTTTTACGGCTTAATATCAGGACGGGCAACGTTCGTAGTTATATGGGCAGAGACAGAATTGAATACTTAGAAAAAGTCGTGTCTTTATTTATGAAGAACTTGACCATATACTCGCTAGCGTTATCCAGAAGCACAACATCTTGACCCGCCCAACATGGAGTAGGTGAGGATCTCACGGACGGCTAATAAATTGACCTGATCTCCAAAATCTCGAAATATATTGAAAGCGTGTACATATTTTAGAAAAACAGAATATAATCTAAACCGGAAACAAATTTTAAATATTAGTTATACAGGTACTGATTGGTCGGATACAGAAAAATATGGACCCATGAGACAGCGCTTGAAACAAGGCTCAGTGGGAGAGGTTTTTCTACATGCTCAACACTTCTCGACCAATCAGAAGACAGAAATCCACTCAGTGACGATATTAGGTTTCACATTGAGGATTGATATACTGGCAGTGAGCTACGTTAAGTTTGTAATCTTTTACTATAGTGTATCAACGACTTTCCACGAGGAAATAATTAATATCAACGACTACACACGGGCAAATACAAAATATCGACGACTATCCACGGGAAATGAATTAACTCCAAGAATACACACTGACAATGCAAGAGAATGACTCTTGGGACGATTCAGTTGGGCTTTTTGGTAACAGTAGCGTCTCCATTGGCAATACAAGCAAGTACGATTTGGACGATGCAAACTATACTGTGCTTTCCTCCGAGCAGAGATGCTGGGTACCCTTTGAGACATGTTATTGTAACACTGTGCACGCTTTGGCAGCCATCGGTCTGGTTGGTAACTTCCTTACCTTCCTGGTGGTTCTTCGACGTCCGAGTATGAGGCAGAAGTCCACCTTCGTTTATATTCTGTTCCTTGCCGCTGCAGACCAGTCACGACTGTCGCTCCTGTCGTGTGAATGCATTTTGCAAAACACACGAAAACGGTCCGGAGCCTCCGTGTGGGAAAGAGCACATCATCCGTATTTTGGGTGCCGCATGTTACTGGCTCTCCATATTCTTAATATTGGCGTTAACCATAGAGAGAGTTGTGATTATTTTTAAACCACTGCAAGCGTCTTCTCTGTGCACAAGACGAAAAGCTTTGGTGACTTCTGTTTCTTTTGTTCCTCTGGCTGTATTACTAAGGTCACCAGATTTTATACGTTGCCATTTACCTCCAGAAACATCATTATATGTGATCTCCGTTTTGAACTATGCGCTGATCTTGGTGTGGTCCGTAATCACAAAAGCCATTACAGTTATGACGGTCGCCATGGTATGTAAACTGAGGAAGAGTCATTCCGTTAGACAACATCTGGTTGGTCGTCAGCAGCACGGTGACAGCAGTGGGTCGACAAACACCAAAGTAAATACTCTACTATTAACGACACTGACAGCGTTCATCCTGCTCACTTGGCCTTTTATCATATTTTTCCTCTACCTGCAAACCATAGATTTGTTTGATATAGCAGGTGACTTTTCCACGGAGCAATACAACCAACACGCCGGGTATATCTACCAACTGTCAGTGCTGTACCTGATAAGCTTGCTGAATCACAATATAAACTTTTTTCTTTATGTTTCGTCGGCTCGGATGTTTCGGGATGCGTTGGTGAACCTCTTTAAAGAATGTTTGCGTTGTCGTCGTGGGACTGCTGGAACACCAGGTAGGGGTCAAGGCTTCAGCAGGCAAAGTGTGTCCTCTCATCCGAACACGGCGTCCACTTCTTTTATGGGTATCCGGATGGAAGATTCTGTAGAGTAACACAGTTCTTCGCCGTGTAAATGTAGATGACGGTTACTAATGTAAAATGTAAAATACACAGTCAAGGTAACTCTTGCTGCATTTTTAGTTAAGACAAAAAATGAATGAAATAAGATTAAGTGTTTTTATCATAGGAAACATTTACAGAAAACGTAGCAGCCCGCTGCGTCACCGCTTGTGTAGATTTTAAGCGAATTTTTTGACAAATAGTAACACATCTTTAATCTAAAGCGGATCCAACCATTTATATTGTGGGCTTTGTACAAATGCTGTTGTAAAGCTTTATTTTAGATGGTATAAGATATAGTTCTACTAACGAAATCGAGGAAGTATTTAACAATTTTTGCATGTAATTTCTCCGCATACAATTGTACTACATAAAACTGGTTTCCTGAAAACATTTGAATTTGAGTGGCATTTGGATAGACATTTTACACTAATGAAACTCGTGAGCGCTGGCGGTACTGCTAGGTTTTGCCTACCCTCTAACCGGGCGACAAATTGATTTTTCACAAGATATTCACAGATATGGAGATAAATAGACGACCATCATTTGGTTCTCTGGCTTTTGGAAAATTTGCCTATAATATCTGCCACCCTGGTAGAGGGTAGTTTTTGTTCCTCGGTCTATTGGAATAAGGTCACATATATTTTTGTAAAAAAAATCGTGAAAAGATATTTGTCGCTTCTGCTCCTCGACTACAATGACCTGTGTACTATTCTTTTGAGATAGTCACATGTAACAAATATTTTATAAATAATAATAATATTTTTTGTGAAATTTAACATTTAACACACTTTAATATTTTCGAATTATTTGTGCCAATTTTCAGAAACTGAGTAGATCTATGCTTTTATATTACAGTGACAAGTTACTCTTGAGGCCGCCTTTCATCTTTGTGAGTTTCGGGTCAATCGGTGCATTGAAACAGGCGACTTAAAAGATAACTACAGACTTCATCGTGATAACACGCTTGCTCACAATACTCATCTGGTGATGAATTTGTTGCAGAAAGGCACTGCTCCCAGAATGGAATAATGATCTTTTAACACTGATACAAACCCTACTGTACACATAAGCAAACCCATAGCCAGCGATAATTTTAAGATTCTTTTTTTTTTTTTTTTAAAGTGGACCTTTCTCCATGAGACTAGCTCAGATTTGGTCCAGAGAGGACATTTTCACTGGAAAGGGGAAGTTGGTTCGAACCCCCCCCCCCTCCGACCCCTCCCTCTCCCCCCCCCCCCCCCCCGTTACAGGCCTGTTACATCTTTATTTTTTTAATTTTTGCCTTTTTGATTTTTATTTGTGCTATCTCATCTTGAATTTACCTCCCTTTTCTTCTCCAATATGCCACACAAGCAGCATATTTTTCAAACATTATTACACATTCTATTACTATTGTCAGGAAGATAATATGCAGGCATACAAAACTGAAATACACACCTTCCAACAACAAACAAAGGATTCTTTTTATCAAAGCAATTTAATACAACTATCTATTATGCAGTGTTCGAATAGAAGAGCAAACCTCATTCAAGTGCCAGCTAAGTTGATCAAAGCGGTTTACGTGCCATGATGGCGTAATGAATAACTGAATGATGATAATTGACCTATTTTGGCTGTCACATTCAATCATTAGGCGAAAAACATGCAGAGAACATGTAAGCAGAGTACAATGTATCTGTATCCACTGTTTACCATCCAGTCGCTGGCTAGAGGAAAATTCACTAATGATGGACTTGGAAAGGGAAATGTCTAACACTTTAAGAAGATCCACCATTATCATGATATACTTAAATATTTAAATATTTTTCATCGAGAGATCTATCTGTGTACTTGAACTGGCTCAACCGAAGGCGGATGGTATCCCTGCCAAGAGATATGATAGATGTTAGTTGCGGGAGTCCCGTTCACTAAATGGTTGGTCATTGTGCTAGATGAGACGTCTGATTGTGCTGGATTGTGATCTCCGCCACAGCACTGATAAGCTCCATTCTCAAGGCAAAATATCGTTGCCAGACTGTACGGTCGCTGCTGCATTATAGAAGGAAATTATGTGTGTGATATGAAAAAAATGCAAAATGCAATGAAATAAAACAGAAAAAATAAATTAATTAATACATAAAATGATGACAATAATATTGATGAATAAAAGATAGAATAAAGAAAATTTGACAGAAATGCAAATAATTTTTTAAGTATGTCTTCGTTGACCAATGAATATAACGCTTGTGTTTCTGTGTTGTATTAAGTAACATAAAGTCCGAAGTAAAGACAAAAAAAAAAAAAAAAAAAAAAAAAAAA